GGACACCACAAAGGTCCCGGCAGCGCTCGCAGAGAAATGCTGCGAGCCCCCGTCCCCCAAGGAGGTCCGGCAGTCGTTTCTAATCAGGACGTCGACAAGCCCGGGTCCAGATTGGATCACGGTCAGCAATCTAAAAGGGGTTTGGGGCGCGAACCTCCAAGAGCACCTTACTGCAATCTGCCGGGGAGCGATCCAGCTAGGCCACTTCCCCCAGGCCTGGAAGCGGGCCACGGTAGTTACCCTGTCCAAAGCGGGCAGAGACCACAAAACCACCAGCGGCTGGAGACCAATCACTCTGCTGTCGGTCCTGGGCAAAGGCCTAGAGAGGCTAATGCAGAGGAGGATGGCAGTGGCGGCGGTCCTGGGAGGCGCGATCTCCAGGGATACGGCCGGAGCGCTACCCCTTAGGTCAGCGCAGGACCTGGTAGCAAGTCTGGTGTTTGATGTCGATAAAGCAAGGCTTCGGGGAATGCACGGGTTCCTGGCAACTTTCGATGTTAAGTCAGCCTTTCCGTCGGTTAGCCGGGCCACCCTGGGCGCGGCGCTGGTAGCCCAGGGCTGGCGCCCGGAAACAGTCGCCCTGGCACAGTCGTTCGTGTCGGACAGGAGCTACAGGTTTAAGTGGCACAACAAGGTCTTCCGGGCCAGCGATGGGCTCCCACAGGGGTCGCCTTGGTCCCCAGTACTTCTTACCCTAGTGCTGGCCACAGTCGTCCGTGGGCCTATAGCCCCTAGGTACGGTGCGACGTACACCTACATGGACGACGTGGCCCAGTACAGCATCGACCGGGACCCAGAAATTGCTGCCAGGAAAGCCACGCTGAGGGCCTGGCTTTTGGACGAGGACCTGAGGAAAGCAGGGCTTAGGCTCGACCCGGAAAAAACGGAGCTTCTATACACCCCTCCCAGCGGCCGAGGCTCGGTGAGGGCAGCGGTCCCGGAGCGCATTAGGGCCCTACACCTCCCCACGGGCAGAACGCCCGCCAGCACCCAAGTTACCTGGCTGGGGGTGGGCCTCCGGGCGACCGGGAGAGAAGGGATCACCATGGCCGGAAACACGGCGGTGAGAGTCCGAAAAGCCCAAACAATAACCAACCTCACGCTTAGGGTGAACGCCGTGTACAAGGGCCTCCGCCCGGATGCGGCCCGAGCCTGGTTCAAGTCGGGGGTAGTCCCTACCCTTACCTACGGCCTTTGGCCACTTTTCCAAGGGTTCCAAAACCGCAGGGCAGTGGCTGGCCTGAAGGCGCTAGAGAAAGCAACCAAGCCAGCGCTTAAAGCACTCACCCCGGCCTGGCGCACGTCCCCGGTGGCACTACGGTACTGGGTTACGGGATTTTCCCCCCAGGAGGTTTGGGGCAGGGAACTGGCCAGGGCTTCGGCCAGGTTACACTCCCTCCCAATGAGCCACCCGATCACCTACAGACTTAGGCATTCGGACGACCCCACGAGGCTATCGAGGCTTTTCGACTTAACCCCCGTAAAAGCAGTGCCGGGCCCGAGGCTCGAACCAGTGGCGCCAAGGGCCCCGGCCCTAGCGGCGCTGTTCGGCCTGGAACCCCGTCCGGCCAAAAAGTCACGGCCCAAAGGTGACCCGGGCCCGCGCCTGGCCCAAACAGACCCCGACCCGTGGTGGGAGGCACACAAGCCAACCTCCTTCGCGCACGTAAAGTGGGATCCTATGTGCGCGTGGGAAGAGTTTACCCCGGAAGGCAGAGGGAAACTACACACCCTGCTAGCGGAAGGGTCGGGACACGGCAACTTCGAATCCTACCACCACAGGTTCCACCACCCCGAGTTTCCGGACTGGTACTGCATATGCGGAGGGGTGAAAGAAGTAGGGCACACGGATAGCTGCGAGCTACGGAGAGTGCCCGCGCCCTGGCGGAGAGAACCCCGACTGGCACAAAACAACACGGAGGAGGCCAAGTGGTGGAGAAGGGGGCACAACGCCGTAACCCGCCTAGGCATTGAAAAAGCCCTAAAGGGCCTGGGAGCCGAGCAGGTAATGCTCGTCGAAAGAGATAGGATCGGAGTCAAAGGACAGGCAGCCCGGCCGGAGGACCCGGAGGACTCGGACGTGGAGGAGGAGCTCCCGATCGTGGAGGTCGGCAGACTGGAATAGGGGACCTAGGGCCCAAAAAGAAAGAAAGGAGGAGAGGGGTAGGGTTTTACAGTTGCCCCGTGGTTATAACTTTCCCTGTACCTAGCCTCCTAGAGCCGGCGCAACGCGGCCACCTAGAATTGCCCTGCCGCCGTCGCGGGCACGTCAGAGAGCCACAGGTATGGCTGCTCGACGGGACCGGCACGTGCTTATGCACGGACCAGCACCCGAGGCACTGACGCTAATCGACTTCTTCTTCTTCTTCTTGTTCCAGCAGCGGCCTTAGGCGAAGCATTGGCAACCCAAGGCTGGCGCCCAGAAACGGTCGCACTCGCACAATCGTTCGTCACAAACAGAAAATACAAATTTAAATGGCACGACGAGGGCTTCCGGGCCAGCGACGGACTACCGCAGGGTTCGCCGTGGTCACCGGTGCTTCTTACACTGGTGCTGGCCACAGTTACCAGACCACCAAGCTGGGGGGCGACGTACACGTACATGGACGATATCGCCCAGTTTACCACGGACCCCGACCCAGAGACCGCAGCCCAAAGAGCGACCAGGATGGCCTGGCGCCTAAATAAGGACCTCCGCAAACTCGGCCTCCGGGTGGACCCGAACAAAACAGAGCTGCTGTACCTTCCGCCCGGGGGCAAAGGCGCCAGAGGCAAGGCAATCCCCCCGAACATAAGAAGCCTTCACCTACCCACGGGCAGAACGACGGCCAGCAAACAAATAACCTGGTTAGGGGTTACCCTAAAAGCAGGGGCAATAGGCGGACTAAGCCTCCCAGCAAACGTGACTAATAGGCTCGCAAAGGCACAAGCACTTACAGCCCTTACGACCCGCATAAATATCGTCAGTAGAGGCCTCCGCCCAGACGCCGCCAGAACCTGGTTTAAGTCCGCGGTGGTCCCGACACTTACATACGGATTGTGGCCCCTATTCCAAGGGTTCCAAAACAAAAGGGCCGTGGCCGAACTAAGTACCCTCGAAAGGGCCACCAGACCAGCGCTAAAGGCACTGGTGCCAACCTGGAGGACGTCGCCAACCCCACTAAGGTACTGGACGATAGGATTCTCCCCACAAGAAGTTTAGGGCAGGGAACTGGCCAGGGCGTCAGAAAGACTCCATACGCTCCCACGAAGCCACCCACTTATGTACAGACTCCGGCACTCGATCGGGAAACCGTCCCGACTGTCGAAACTGTACACCTGCACAAACCCAGACCCAGCCCCGGACCTTGACCCGGTAGCCCCAAAGGCCCCGGCCCTGGCGGACCTGCTCGGGACCAAGCAAAGGCCGATAAAGAAACCACGCCCTAAAGGGGACCCAGGACCCCGTTTACCACAGGCCGACCCGGAACCGTGGTGGGAGGCCAATAAACCACGATCCTTCGAACACGTCCGCTGGGACCCCAAATGCTCGTGGGAAAAAGGGCTAAAAGATGTAACAGGAAGGGGGCAAATGCACACCATCCTGGCGGAAGGGTCGGGACACGGCAACTTCGGGTCCTACCATACACGTTTCAAGCACCCACCAACACCCAACTGGTACTGCATCTGCGGGGAGCTGAAAGAGGTCGGCCACACAGACAGGTGCGAAATAAGGCGAGTTCCAGCCCCTTGGAGGCGCGCCGCCCCAACAACCGGACCAAACCCCGAGGAAAAATGGTGGCGTAGAGGGTACAACGCCGTACAAAGGCAACAGATCGAGAAGGCCTTAAAAGAACTAGGGGTCCACGAACTCGTACATGCCGGTACAGAGGGAATGGAATGCAAAACAAGGGAGACCAGCCCAGCCAGTCCGGGGGAAGAGACAGAAGAGGAGCTGGAGGTGGTCGTGCCCTGTGGGGTGGGAACAGGAGAACCCTAAAAACACAAAGAAAGAGAAGGCTCCAGGAGTAGGGTTTTACAGTTGCCTCGTGGTTAAAACTTTCCCTGTACCTAAAGACCTTAGAGCCGGCACAATGCGGCCACAGAAGCTCGCCCAGCCACCGTCGCGGGCGCGTCAGAGAGTAGCCGATGCGACTGCCCGAAGGGACTGACCCGCGCGCGAACACGGGTCAGCGCCTAACGGCACTGACGTTAATATACTTATCTTATCTTATCTAACACCCGGCCCCCGGTCAATCGACGCGCATGCCAACCAAACAACGCCAGGAATCCATTCAAACTCGGAACTGTATACATCGGTTATCTCTACTTCTTCCTGACAAGTGCGGATCCTTCCTCGAATCCACCAATTCTTGGCATTGCGCTGTTAGTGCACACTGCCAAATTGCATATAAATCCTTAACACCCGCCAATTTAGCGACCCAGCACCAACAACACGCCCGCCAACGGCGCTGGCGACGGCAGCATGCCGTTGCCAACGGCCCCCCCTTAGCCAACAGGGTGGCGCACGCTATCCTTAACGGCCCTTCGGCCCGCAGGAGCGCGACGCTGCCGCACCTGCCCCAGCGCACTTTAGCGCACACGCACTTAAACACGCCGTCCTCGTTGCGAAACGCGCAACACCCGACAGGGCCCGCACAAGGCCAGGAAGGCCTTCACGGCGTCGGCACCGGCACAGGTGCCCCTTTCCTTTCCCCCCTACCTTACACCCTAACAGCGCCCCTCCCCCTTCCCCCCAAGCCCTTTAAAAGCCACAGCGCCCAACCCCCTCCTCCCAGCCTGCGGGCCCGACCCCCGGGTCGGCCGCAGCGGCCGCGGAAGAGATAATCGCGAGCTTTACGCGCAAACAAAGCTAAACGGCCCTAATTTGCGCCACACTGGCCTAATTGGTAAACGCCGGCATCGCCTTCTTACCGCCCGAAGCGGCGCGCGAGGCGCACGGCGGAAAGTTTGCTTTTTAAAGTACGCGAAGGAGGCGCTGCTAAGCCAGCCAGGGAGTGGCCATATAGGTCAGGACTGCCCATGTCATTATTATAAGCAAATGTTTGGAATCTGGAATTAACTACTTTATATTCATCCTAGCTACTCCAACAAAATACCGCAGACAAAGACGAAACAGTGTGCGGGTGCTCTGGGCCAAGGACCTGCTGCTGAGCCTGCGTGAAGTCCTTCATCAGTGCCAGGGCATCTGCATGCCGGCTTTGATCCTTCCAAGTGAAAGCGAGGTTATTCATGCTGGTCAGCGTATTGGGATGCTCCTCTCCCAGCACCCGTTTTCTCGTTTCCATCACTTGCACCCCCAGCGATTCGGCCTCCTTCCACCGGCCCTGGTTCCTGTATGTCGACGCCACGATGCCCATGCTGGCCAGCGTCGAGGGATGCTCCTCCCCCAGCACCTTTTTGCGGCCTTTTTGCGCTTTGGCCGCCATCCGTTCTGCCACTTTGTATTTACCTTGCGACCATGCATACCATCCGCCATTATGCAAAAGATTTGCCCATTCCTCCATCCTTTTTTCGCCTGGTCCATGGTGTGCGGCCGCTTCGACATGTGCAAAAAGCTGCTGGCACGTCGCCCAGTTGCTGTACTCCCCCGTAGGGAACGCCGCCGCCATCCGCTCAACAAACTGATTCCTGAATTTGTCTTGCAGCCCGTCCGCCTCTAGCCATTTCCGCGTCGACAGCTGCACAAGCCCGTGCATTCCCAATGCACTCCCGTCCTCATTTGTGGCTACAAGACAAAAGTCTCGCAAAATGGCCACATCGTCTTGAAAGCCGTCATCTGCCTCGTCGCCGCCGCTGTCGAATTCGGATCCTGAGTCCTGCTGGATACATTCGGCATTAACGGGCTTCAAAAGCGACAAAGCGATGCCCTGTCGATCGAAAAAGCTCATAAGTGCCAGAAGGTCGGCTGCAGAATGTCTCCGCGAACGGATATGTTCGAACGAGATCCGCCAAGTTGTAAGGATGGTGTTTGATGCCCCACCATCCCGCCGCAGGTCGCCCGCGTCGTGCCACAAAAGCTGAGCCCGCTTGCGTTCGCCTTTGCGAAACTCGGCCAAATACTTTTCGACCGAGCTCATCGGCGATCTTGCCTGGATGTACGCCGCCGCCTGGCTGATGGCAAGAGGGACAAGGTCGAGCGCTTGTACCAGGTCTTCGGCTGTGGCCACATTAGAAAATGGGCCTAGTTTCTTCTCCAGAAGAAGAAAAGCATCGGCCAGCACCATCGGCCCAACCTCGATGATGTTTTTGGGGTTCCCTGTAAGCCTATATGCCAGGTCCCGGTTGCGCGTTGTGACGACGATAGATCCGTTTCGGCTTTGTGGGAAATAGCTCGCCAGCGGCTTCCCTTCGCGACCGTCCCTCGCCGCGTAAAACACGTCTCTGTCGTCGGCGCTGTCAACGATGATGGTCCACCGGCCGTTCCGCTCGTTGGATAGCCAGCTGTACACAAGCTGCGGTATGTCGGCCTTGGGCTGGTTCCGACCGGGCAGCTTGACGGCGTCGGCAATGGTCCGGAAGCCTTCTTCGACGCGGGCCTGTGTACCAGCGTGGATCCAAAAGATCCATCTCTCGGTTGCTTCCTCGGCGGTCCGGTGGGCGAATTCGATAGCCAATTGCGATTTGCTGCTGCTGTTAGCTTTTTTTTATTTCCGGCATGGTCCAGAATAACACGTACCCAATGCCGCCGAGGCCGACCAGAGCCACACGACCGGCCGGTTCGGAGCATCGCTGGCGGAGCTGGTCGAGAATGTCGCCGCGGTCGACGAAATCGGGGTCGCGGGAGAAGGGGATGGTCGCGAACGGCTGCGGCGGGGTTTCCGGTCGTTCTGATTTGAAGATTAGCAGGGTTTAAGCCGCACGGATCGCGCCAACTTACCGGGCGGGAGGTGGATTTTTGTGTTTATCGTCCCGTAGTTCTGCCCCACCTGCTGGCCCCGATTCCCGGGTCCAAAGGACGCGGATAGCAAATGCGTCGTCATTTTGGCTGCTTGATTATCGTGGCGGTTTGTTGCGAAAGCAAGAAACGCTTTCCAGTTTGTGCGGCTGCCTGGCCGCTGTCGAGTGGCATTTCAGCTGCTGCACGTGATTACTGCCCAACCTCGGCCCTTTTTCATGAGGCATTTTTGGCCTGCAGTACAAATTCCCAAAATTTCTACCAATACCATTTTACCAACGAAAGAGGCATTCCGCTCCACTGCTGCCTGGTTATCCGACCGAACTCCGCCCCCATGGTGGATCAAAAGGTGGATTCGTTCATGCCACCCACTTCCGCTGACCTGAAGCAAAGGCAAAGATGGGGCAGCATTATAGGGTCCACTTGGTTCTAGTTTGTCTTTTAACCACCTCATCCTCCCGTCCTCCTAGCTGCCTACCCCAAACCTCACTCGCCTTACTAGAAACTCCTGCTTATTCTGCCAATACCTATATACGTATGTAGGTTAGGGTACATTTTTCATTATGGCCGAATCGACGACGCCTGCATCTCCTCCTGTCGCGGAGGCATCAGCGGCGCAAGCTGAGCAGCAGCAGCAGCAACAGCAGCAACAGCAGCAACAGCAGCAGCAGCAGCAACAGCAGCAACAGCAGCAACAGCAGCAGCAGCAGCAACAGCAGCAACAGCAGCGACAGCAGCAACAAGAGCAGGCTCCAATTGGAGTGGTGAGTACTCTGTAATCAATCGCCATTGCAATCCCAGCCGTCCAAGCCCCACCTCTAAAAGGGCCGCACAGGGTCAAAGAATCGCTGCGGCACTAGCTGGAGGACATGCAGACGGCATGATTCTCTGATCAACCCATGGACCACTTTGAAACCCACCGACTACCTGCTTCCATCCCTTACGCACGCTACAGCTTCAAAACTAGTTGAATTGAATCGAATTGCACACAAAAAAAATCAAAGCCTGGGTGTCCGACTCGTTTCGCTAACGAGCCTCCCATTGCATGCAGGATACTAACTTCGCGGGCCAAGCCGCCGTGGACACCTACGATGACCACGATTCGGCCCTGGGCGACGGGTTGGTTTCTCTGCAATTTTCCCCCGTCGGATTCATAAAATCGGTCACCTACCTACCTAGATACCTACCTTCAGGTACTGACACATGCCCTCCCTACAACAAAACAGAGATAGTCTTAACATCAGCTCAACCGCGTCGGTCGCCTCGTCCATCCTAAACTATCGCAAGATCCATGGCAGGACCTATCAAAACTATGAGGACGCCGAATACTGGTGCGTTTCCCTTTCGTTTCCATATCATGCTTTCCTGAGCTCATTTGTGATTAACAACTCGGTTTCACGGAAACAGGGGCCCCAACGACAGCACCCAAAATGAAGCGCTGGATATTGCGTAAGTATCGGCAAAATAGAAATCCTACCAGTATTATCAAAAAAATCAAAAAATCAAATGGCTTACTTGCGCTGCCATGCCAACTCCACAGCCATCACATGATGTGCCTCGCCCTGGACAACAGACTCTTCCTTGCCCCCGTCGATAATCCCCAAAAGGTGCTGGACGTCGGCACAGGAACCGGTATTTGGGCCATGTAAGTAACATTTCCAGCCATCAAAACCACGTCCAACACGAACTGACTTGGTCCTCCCCAGCGACTTCGCCGACGAGCACCCCTCAGCCGAGGTCATTGGGACCGACCTATCGCCCATCCAGCCGTTATGGGTGCCGCCCAACTGCAGGTTTGAGCTGGACAATGCCGAGAATGAATGGACTTATGCCGACAACTCGTTCGACTACATTCACGTCCGCGGCCTGCTCGGCTGTATCAAGGACTGGGAAAAGTTCTACCGCAACGTTTTGCGCACCCTTAAGCCCGGCGGTTGGTTCGAGCACCACGAGTTCTCCATCCTACTCTTGTCCGACGACGGCTCTGTCCCTCCCAATAGCGTGTGGGTCGATTGGTACAACCTTTTCCGCGAGGCCGGCAGCAAGACGGGTCGCTCCTTTGTCGTGACCGAAATCTGGGAGAATGCCCTGCGCGCCGCCGGCTTCACAGGTGACATTCATAGGGCCATGTTCAAGCTGCCCATGGGCGGCTGGGCCGCCGACCCCAAGTGGAAGGAGGTGGGCATCTTCAATCGCATGTCGATCGAGCAGGGGCTAGATGGCTTCGCCAGCTACATCTGCCGTATGGTCATGGGCTGGAGGGAAGAAGAGTACCATGTGCTGCTGGCCAAGGTCCGAAACGCCATCAAAAACCGCGGCTGGCACGCCTACTACCCCCTTAAGATCATTTACATTCAGAAGCCCCTGTGATCTAGTCACTTAATAGGCGATGAGTACTCAGGGCTTACAAATACGTCATTCATTGGGTAAAAGAATTCCTTTTGCATACTCGAAAGGAGTTTCCCTACATTCGGGAAATCGATCCTATGGATGCCTGCATATACGATGTATAGTTCTACGAAAGCACCAGGATGTGTCCCGAACTTCCAAACATCCATTCCAATCAACTGCCAGTATGGCGGCTGGTAGGCGCGAGAAACGCATCACCATCCAGGGACCACCTGCTCGCCGTGCCCGTGTCAGCCGACTGAGGCGAGATAGTGGTCCTGGCGGCCCTTTAGACCATTTGCCATACCCGCCTCTATAAGCATAGAAGCGTCGGAGGGGCCCTCACCTACATGCGGATCTTACATCGGCACCTTATACCGGTGTAGGATGATCCTAAGTTAGGAATATCCTAAAACCAGGACCAGGGCGGGTAGCAAGGTGCCCCCGGGTTCGCAGCCTTCGGAACCACCACCACCACGGGGGGTCGTCTTCCATCAGTCAGCTTCACAGCAACTCGACAGCGCATTTTCGGCATCCTCGGACAGCGCCCCGCCCAGGAAGCTGGACTTCCTCATGGACACGCTCACGCGGGTACCGCGTCTCATCCAAAAGCCGACCTGGTGCACCTACGTCTCGTCTCCCAGCTTGAGCCAGGCGCCTATCGGACAGGACTAGGTGTACATGTAGTGCCTAGGCAACGCAAGTAAGGAGTGCTACGAGGGTGGTGTTTTCCCCGAACCCAATCCACGACCCTCCACCGGCGCGTTGAAGGTCCGTGGCTGGATCGTTGGAATTATGCAGCATACGTATACTTTGTCCTCGGCTCTCACGGCACTGGGCACTTTCATGGACGCTTCGTGGATGATGGACGGGCGTCTTAGAGAGGGACTTTTCGCCATGGCCGTTGTATTCGCCTGCGTTGAAAAGTTGTGCGCCGTTATGAATCTCGTATCCATCGAGAGAGACTGGGTCGTCGATATCACCGAGGGGGACGAATCAGCGCGTAGAGGTTCGTTCGTTTTCAACACGAGGATCAAGTCCTGAAGCATCACATTGCGCTGACCTGCATGTAGTGTTAAACGCCAGGATACGGCGAATCGATCTTTTTTGCAAGCTAGTTTAGGTGGTGGGGGTAATAAATATATAAAGCCCGGATCAAAACAAAAGGACAGCGCGGCTGATACCTTTCCGCCCGGAGCGTTAGCAGTGGGTGCGATGTTGAACGCTTAACATCAGCAGCAGCAGCAGCGGCGGCGGCGGCGGCGGATACCACTTGACCGTAACAGCCACAGCCTTGTTAATGTCCGGACCCGCCTGGTGGGCAGTCTTCCAGATCTGCCATTCAGTGCCCTGGTCCGGATACGGCAGCGGACGGCGTAGTAATAACCACACCCAAAGCCCATATATGGCCCGGAAGACCCTGCCCAGTTCCGAAGCGGCCCGGTACCATGGCTCAAACTTAGGCGGAACATTTTGGGGCACATGTCGGCAGCAGACGCCTAGGAGGCTGACAAGGGATCGAATGAACGAGATCTGGAGCGTCCCCTTCATAATTAGCGACGAAAATTCCAAAGGGGATTATGCACACACCTTTCTGTTGACGCAGGGGTGTTTGGGGTTTGCTCATTTTTATACTCGAGCCCCCAGCAACGCTGTCGAAATCCTAACGATCATTAGCCCGCATGTCGCAAACCTGATGTGTAGACCTCTTACCTTTAGTAAGGCGGACAGTCTGGCGACTGCATCTCGACCGCCCATCTCTTCCACCCGGCCAGCCTTCATCCTGTTTGCAACAAGTCGCTTGACGACTTGAACGTACTTTGGCGCACTCGATGCCATGTCCTCGTTAGTAATCTCCGGGTTTTTCAGTTGAGCGACGACCACTTCAAGCCACCGCTCAATGCCAGACCATTGAAGGACGTGGCCGCCGAGGGCAAATGTCTGTACTCCTTGTACCCTGAAGACGAAGTGGATCGTGCCAGAGGGGAAAAACACCGTATGCCCCGGTGAGAGAATAACCTATCTCCATTCACCCCCGGTATAGCCATGCGGATTGGCTATCCATTTATCTTTTTCCTGCTGACTTGGGCGCGACATCCATCCAAAGCCAATGTTTCCTTCTTGGACCGTGACCCAGGTTGAATAGCCGTGACTATCCATATGCGGCGCCGTGTTATGTCCTCCTTTAGATAGGAGTGCCCATTTTACGACGTTGCGCCATGTGTTCCAATCTTTTCCAGATGCTGCTATCCTTTGAGCATCGTTGCCCATCAGAATGGCATCGCGCATTCGGAGGAGAAGTTGGCAGTTGTCGTTTTCCAAGAAAGGCGGCAGGGCGAAGGCAATGAACCCTGCAGATCGAGAAGGTTCCAGGGGTCGCTTGTTGACCCCTGGCTGAGAAACCGGTTTCGGACTTGGAAAAGCGTCCTACGCTCCGAAGACTTTTTGAGCGAACTGCGAGAGGGCACCTGAACGGACACAGCCCGATCGAGGCCAAGGTCTTCCATGTGATAGAACAGCTGTGAAATTGGGCGGTCCTTCCCCTTCCACTGGAATCGCTGCTGGCCTTGCGTGAAAATAGGCACGTCGACCGATCCAAGCTCTGCACGTTGGGTTGCTTCCTCTCCGCTTAGGAAGTATGCATCTTCGCCCGTAGGCGGCCTGCTTTTGGACAGGATTTGGGAAACCAATTCGTCCGTTTGACTCCCCCAAGAATTGGGCACAAGTTCCGTTGATTCCATGTCCCTAAGCACTCGCCGGCGACAGGCTTCGTCGCGAATTGAATCATGTTTTGGCCGGCCGTCTAAGCTCGACGTAGCCGGCAGACTACCACGGCTGGGCGCATCTTGATCATTAGACCGGAGCCGTTTTAGAGGGGTAGTGTCGATGAGTTCGGAAAGCGAGGCACGCCGGCGCCGGGGAGTGTCGCTTGTATCAGGGCCGGCCGTCTGGAGCTCCTTCTCCGCCTTTGGAGATGGCCTGGAGGACTCCGTGCTGGTTACTGCCTCTGTGTACTTTTTGAAATGTGTATGACACATGTCCTGAAAAGGAACGCCGACCAATATGAATGTAGGCATTTGCCCAGTTGCGATGCCGTCCATTTTGTCCAGAAACGCTAGTAGCGTTGATGATATTTTGGGTGGACAACATCGCTCCTGCAAACGCGCAGTGCTGAGCAGCCCGGGCTGACGGAGTGGTTTGGACCTTCTCGGCGGTGCTTCGTGGTAGCCTGGCTTGCCACTCCGTGCTCGGAGTCGTGCTGCAGAAGCATTGGTGGCGTGTTGGCGGTCCGCGTTTTGAGCATTTTCTGCCGCTGCTCTGCCACACGACTTGTCGGTGCTTGTTCGTGAGCGAAGGATCTGACGGGATGGTTGTCGTTCGGGGTGCAGGCGATCGTCGGCGTCGCTATCGCCAGATGAGCTTATGTCCGCCAAATCCCGTGCGGCATCCCCGGATAGGACACCGGCAACGGCAGAGGCGGCGAGAGGAGGGGACTTTGGCGGTGAGCTTAAAGATGTTGTCGATTGGGAGCGACTTAGAGAAGAGGAATGGGCGGCGCCGGCATGACGCTCTATAGAGCTAGCGTTTTCACTACTCTCGTTGGCGGCGGATGGCCCGTTTGGTTCTTTATGTGCAAGGACAGCATCGAGGACCTGTTGGACGAAACGGCCGAAGTTCGAATCCCCCGGGCTGGCGCCGTGCGGGGGATCAAGCCCCGGCACGCCGACGTTGCAGGCATCGTTCGGTCCCGAGCGTCCGGTGATATCAGCACCGAACGCGGCTGCCGTTTCAATGGTGTCGGCGGGCAACGAGACAGCAAATTCCTCTCGCACCATAAGCCCAAATTTGTCGAAGCCAAAGCCGGGAGGCAAGTCGGCAGCAGCCAGTTTCCGGTACGGAAGAGAGTCTTTGCCCTTGTCGAATGAATCTCGGTGCGACCAGGCCTTTAGATTCACTAGATCGGCCTGATCGATCGGGTTGACCACTTCGCGCGGTCGACGCAGCCCCCGCCCGGTGGCCAAAAGCCGCCGCAGCATCAATCTATTCAACTTCGTCACAGCCTCGTCCAAATCGCGAACCTCCCGCGCTGCGGCGCCGGTAACTTCGCAATATCTTACCCCCTTGGAAGCCAACTGGTAGTGCTGGACAAAATCTGCGCCCCAATATCGGTCTACCGTTTTCAGAGGACCGATACATCTGGACTTGACCTCTGATCCGCCTCGCGCCACGTCGACAAATCTCTCCCACTTGGCCGCATCCTCTCTGGTTTTGATCGGCAACCCCTGCCCTTCTCCTCCCTTCTCCTTCCATTCTTTGTATCCGACACACTCGTCCACTATGATATGCTCATAAGCAGCGACCAGGAGCTGCACCTCGGTATGCCACTCGAGCACGTCGTCTCGGGTCTGCGCGCAAAGTTCATATTTCTCCGTGTCGGTTTCGCAAAGGCGGATCTGTGTACGGAACTGGTTGATTTGCCGGGCTTGGTCGAGGCTTAATACGAGGTCGTCGCCGAGATCGCCGCCGGGAATTTTATCAACAGGAGCCATGTTGCGTCGGGCCACGTCTCATCCAGTCATGGCTGTGAGGAAAGAAGATGAAGATGGTGTAGTCGGCGGTGCACATTAACAGCGGCATTTGAGGGCTGAGGACCGCCAGATGTGGAGCTTGGGGGTGGGGTATTTTGTGCCTGAGGCACCCATAAGCCAACCTTTGCCTTGAGGACGGGCCGCGGAGAAGGGTGGGGCTCCCGCTACTCGTACCGAAAAAGGCTGGCCTGAGGAGTACCCACAGTAACGGGTGGGATTCCACCAGTCAATGTGGATTTCATAGAATGATTCTTATTGGCTTAACAGGAGACGCAAACCGCAAGCGGTTCGCCCAAAGGAGCCTTGAGGAACGAAACGAAATTTGGATCCGGCAATTTGGAAGCATTGGAATTAGATAGATGCCCAAAATGTAAGTTTGCTGCGTTTGCACGCGTTCGGATGTTACCGCACCAAGGTTGGGATGGCGCACTTTGGTGGCTTACTCTAGCGTCTGTTCTGAACAGGGTGCATTGGTCACCTGGGTATACTAAAACGTAATGAAATGTGACCAAAGATGGAGGTAAAACCCAGGGATGTCATATGGTCAGTATCTAGATCAAGATTTTGCGTAGTTCCCCTCTGATTTCCATTTTTTAAATTATGGGTAGCTTGTTACAGCTTGTCACAGTTCGCTTCGCATTTTGTTGTAGAGAGGAGGGACTGAAATACATGCACGATATTCTTCGCGGTTTCGTATGGAAAAGGGCTATATTTAATATCTACATATCCTAGGACTCCATTCGGTTCACCGCGGTCTGCTCCAAAATTTGCGTATTTTTTCGGAAGATGGCGGCTGCGATGCGGTCGAGGCCCACTTTCCGACGTCAGGGGCCGGGCTGAGCTGAGAGGGGAGTCGCCAGGACGAGTA